TATACTTATGTCGTCGGATTACACAAATTTTCACAGCTTTAAGGTGACAATGAGAGGAACTTGAATGTGTCCAGACAAACTATTTCATCGATTATTTACCAACGAGTTGTGGTTTGAGTTGGGGGCAATGCGACTAAAACAGTAATTGAATAAAACTAACCAGACACATTCAATTTACCAGACTATTGAACAACTAGGAAAAGTAAAAAAAATACTTTTTATCGCCAGCATAAATGCGTAATTATTTTTTTTACAGAAAAAGTAATTTTTCACCTTTGATTGAGTAACGCGTCGTAGATTGCAGATACGGGCATGCAAAATACACTTGTGAAAAGCTTGAAGTCTGGCGATTCTAAAAATATATACTTTCCCGGGTCTATTTGTCACAATTAGAAGATGAAAACAAGTATGCAAATAATAGTCCCGCTACCTTAAACCACCGAAAATTACAAGATGACTGTCACTTATGTTATTTTATTATTAAACTAAGCGGTCGTCCCTCAGCAAATAGTTAAGCCAAGGCATTTCGGTGTCGAAATCGCGAAACTGTCCGTTTTTACGCAATCTGGGAAGTTCCAATTACTAAACGAAGTACAGGAAGACGAAGCTGAAATATCCAAAAACCAACACATACCAAATATTATATCTCAAAAGTGAATATTCGTGGTGTATTTTAAGTATAACCGGACCGGAAGAGGGAATTTGTTACTACTCTAAATATTAGTATAAGGTAGTAATCAAAACGTGAAAGGGTTTTAGTGAGTTGAAAAGTGTTCTACTACAGACTTTGACATAATGCTTCACACGATAAATTCAACCATTATCAACTTCTAAATTTCCATGAATTCTAAAACGTTATTATTCACGTTTTGTTTGTTGCTACATTTATAAGCTTGTATCGAAAATAATAATTTTCAATATTGTTTTCAGTATTTATGTTTGAAATTTCTTGACCTGCACACTAATATTTCTAAACACAAAATTACAGTTTTGTACACCATGTGGTATCTGTGTGATGTTGTTATAATGCATATTTGTTAAAGTGGTCGTAATTATTTTGTTTGGCGTATATTGGAGAATGATCGATACACCAGGCGTGTGGTTTTGTAGGTCACGTTGAACGGTGAATGTTCTCGTGGATATGACACATTTACCCAAATAGTTGAACTTGGCTGTCTTAGCCGAGGGTGTGTTTCAGAAAGATTCTACAAAATATAGCACATATCCGCGTCTCGACAATGGAGAAATAACTTAGGCAGATCTAAAATCAGTAGTGTTTTTATATTTTCATCTACGTGAGTGTGTTGAACGTTGAATTATGCACGACGTATGACCGGGATGTAATAAAAATGATGACACTTAATGAGAAGTACTAAAATCGAGTTCACATCTTGTCCTGGGTTGCGGCCTTGAGAAAGATGTTTTAATTGCCTGTCCCTGGAGAGTACATCCCAGGGTTTCGAGTTGTAATGGTTCAATATGCGTGGAAAAATTAAACACCGCGTATAAACACACACGTGGACAAATCACTCATGCGGCGTGCATGTAAAGTCAAATAATATGACGTAAGTGGACGAGATTAGTTGAGGCCAATTATGTTAAGTTGGGTGAATAAAGTGTTGGCTGTGTGCATGAATATTTTAACAAACGAATACTGTGAGCGTTACACAAACGTCAAAAAATACTCAATTTATGCAAACAGCAAAACTATATAAAAACAAAACAAAACAAAAAATACATTTTTCAAATATCAAGATATTAATTTAAAAAATACTCTATCGTCAATATCGCCATTATTATGTCAATATCTTCCTGCCTAATTCTTAAGACCAGATACCGAATACTCAATTTATGCAAACAGCAAAACTATATACAAAACAAAACAAAAATACATTCTTCAAATATCAAAATATTAAATTTAATTTAAACAATTCTCTATTGTGAATATCGCAATTATTACGTCACTGTCTTCCTGCCTAATTCCCAAGACCAGAAACCGAATACTCAATTTATGCAAACAGAAAATCTATATAAAACAAAACAAAAAAATACATTCTTCAAATATCAAAATATTAAATTTAATCGCCTCTCTGTGTGAACGAACCGGCATATCCATCTGCCGCATTATGGTTCTCGAATGTCGCTGAGCTTCAGACTGTGCTTATCGCCTCTGTCAGCGCCTCCTTTGTGCAACTACTCGGTGCGTGGTCTCGGTGACAGGTCGGCAAAGCGTTCAAAGGGATAGTGATGTTAACACATCGCTACACTTGCTACACGTTGACTCCGTGGCGACACATCGTAATTTCAGTATGGTTAAAGTAACAGTTAATTGCAAAAAGAAAATAAGCAACGTCCATTTATCATGGAACTACGCAACATTATTCGGGAAATGCGGTATAAATAAGCGGCGTTTTACTACCGCATGTATCTATTTATAGGTATCACACCACATATAGAATCCCCGTAGACGACAATGCAAACGCTTAAAATGCATTGATGTCTGTAACCAGAGATTTCCGAAATTAAATGGCGTTGCATATTTATTAAACGTCGAAACCATTAACTTCAATTAACCGAATTAGAACTGGTAACAATGGAAAACTTCACGCGTTAGTCCGGTTAGTTTTAAACATGTAGGATTGGTACTAGTATACGAGCACCTCATTTAACAAACATTTTGAAATACAAACATGCCACCCCCTGTAAGTCGTGGTTTCATAATAACGAGAATTTCATTTGCATGTGACATTGTATCTATGCATTGTGAATCCTACAATGCGGATGTCACAGTTGGTTCTTCCGTTATTTCCTTTCGTTTAGTTAAGCTGGGAGAACAATGTTTGTGAGAAAAATTTGCAAGTGAGTCAACGATCAAAATCAGATAACGAAACCTTGTCGTAAACGGTGCGTAAATGTTCTCCTGACCATTTGAAATTCCAGGGCATTCTTTTTTACAAAGGTAACACCACTTACGATTTTTTATTTAAACTGGTAAGCAACATATTGCTCACTGAATTTTGCTCTCCATTTAATCCCTTCCCCCGGAGTTGTTTTGTTTGTTTATTTGTCTGTCGGCGGGATAAATAACGAACGAATATTTATACAATATTTAAGAAGTTGCTCTGGAGACAAGGATCAGTCGACTCTATATTTTGGGAGAGACCTAGATCCGGTTGCAGTGAAGACACGTTTTGGGAGGATTTTCACCATTTTCAGATGGGGTCATAGCAATAATAAGTCAATTGTAGCTGTGACGTAGGTCTGTGCTATGGGAGTGCATTTTAGTTTAAAGCGGGGGG